TCTATGTAGCCCCTGCCCTGGGCTGCAACCCTCAGCTCACCTGTAACCCCTGCCCTTAACAGTGCTATCCTCTGTGCTCTGAGGTCCTTCCCTGCCCTGAAGTTAAATGACCTTCTATACCTATGATTCCACCTTGGCACAGACTGAAAGGAGGGAAGTTGAGGGAAGGAGGCTGTAGCATGCAAGAGGGCATCTATGTGACACTAGGCAACTCATTTCTCTTCTCTGTTCCTCATTTTGGACAAGATGACCTTAAAATACCATTCTGGTTTTGAGCCTATCATCCTCCCAATGGGGAGAGAGAGAGAGAGAGAGAGAAAGAGAGAGAGAGAGAGAGAGAGAGAGAGAGAGAGAGAGAGAGAGAGAGAGAGAAAGAGAGAGAGAGAGAAGAGGAAAAGAGAGGGGAGAGGAAGAGGGGGAGAAGTGGGGGCTGGCTCATCACTCATGCGATAGTGCCCTTCGGCTGGCCCAGTCCTGAGGCTATAGAAGGAACACATGAGACCCTCATATGTCATCTAGTCCAAGTCTCTCTTACAAATGGGGGGAAATGGGCCTACAGGAGACAAGAGACTTGCCCAGGTCACACAGCTATGATTCCTGACACAGATCATACATGTAAAGTTGGAAGGAACCTCAGAAGCCACCCCTGGTGCTATGCTGGGAAAGCAGGATTTTATACACAAGCTAGTGCACCTCCTTCATTTCATAGATGGGGAAACTGAGGACCAGGGGTGACCTGACTTGACACAGGTAGGATTAAGCATGTGAAGCACAAGCTCTTTCTCTCAGAGTTATGGAAGGGTGTTTTATTTCCCAGAATTGATTGTTAACCACTGGAGTTCCTCTTCATTGGCAATACTAAATGGCCCAGAGTCTCCAAAACAGATTTGCACAACTGGCTGCAGATCAACTTCCGTAAACTTGGCCAAGAACCAGGAATCAGGAGATCTGGTTTCATGTTCTGCCTCTTTCATCCCTCTGAGCCTCAGTTTCCTCACCTCTAAAATGGGGTCAATAACACCTCTAGTACTCATCTCACAGGATTGTTGTCAGATTCCAGTGAGGTATCTGATTGGGCTTGTCACTTGTACAGAAACACTGATCCAGTGACGTCAGGTGGGCTGGCCACCCCACCCTCATTCTCTCCTTCTGACACAAAGGGCTCAGTCAGGTACCAAAGTTTCAGCAAAAGTGACACAGATGGCAAAGGGGACTGGGGCATTTCACCAGCCTCGTTTCTCAGCAAGGAGCCCTTCTACTCTGGGCCCAGCCACACGGAGGCTGGATTTCAACACTGACTACTCAAAAAAAAAAAAGAAAAAGAAAAAGAACAAAAATGTCAAGCATCTTATTTCAAAAGGAACACCTAAGTTTTCACAGAAATCCCAGAGCGTGGGGGACTTTTCCCACAGGCTGGAGAGACCCATTACAGACTAGAAGTCTCTTCTTATCACAATCTGATGTTATAGAAGATTTCTGGTCAAGACAGGGGCCTGAATGGAGGAAGATCACCCATCTCCTATATACTTTTCCAGCGAAAATCTCAGAGTCACAGCAGACAGAAGAATGATCAAGAAAGCCAATTAGAAACTGTAGCAAATGACTTCTTCCACACCAGAACAACACAGTGAACTAGCCAGAAGTTCATGGAAAAGAAGGCCATCAAAAAAGCCAGTAGAGACACAAACAAACCAGCCAGCTGTGTCCCAACATGTCCAGGGATATAACAAAGGCAGTTGCATCCTGCAAAGCCACAAAATGAGCAGGAGCAGAAGCTCACCCTCAGAAAGACCCAGTGAAATCAGAAATCCACAGCAGGGGCCTTACAAGGGACTGAGCAGGAAACAGTCCTTTTTCTATTCAACAAGAAAACAATACATTAAGCTCTAATCTGTAGCCTTCCAGTGGTTGTGACATGTAAATGCTCACCCTAAAACTTTAATGATTTCCTCTGGAGGAGCTGATTTCACTGGGGTCCAGGATGCTGCTGTCCTTGGTCCTGAGTAAATCATGAACCTTGGAACTGGCAGCTCCAGCTCCAAGCCATGTCTAATTGCAAGTCATGAGGAGGCAGAGGAATATTACAGACATGCTGGGGCTGGAGACAGAAATCTTGTTTCAATCAAGTTAGCAGCTGTGTGTTCTCTGCCAATTCACTTACCTTCTGTGGCCTTCAGCTCACTCATCTGACAAATGAAGAGGTAAGTTGCCCTGAGTTATTTCTGAGAGTCATAAAAACCCTTAGATAACATCAATCAGTGCCTCCTTCCCTTCCTTATTATACAGAAGAGGGGAGTGACGCCATGAGAGAGGGGAGGACTTGCCCAGGATCTGACACCTCACTCAAATCAAAGTCAATTGCCAAGTCATGTCATCATCTCCCCGATGTCATGGTCCTCTTCAAGAACAAAGGACAAACAGACACACAGCCCTGTGGAAAAGATAGAACCAGACTCCCTGCCTCAGCCTGGCTCCGGGTTCCCAGACTGGGGCTCTTTTTCCTATACTTTCCCCATCTGTCCAGGTCTGCAGTGCTAAGCAAAATCAATGCCCAATACACCTTATATTTACCTGTCCCTTCTGCCTTCTTACTCTAAATCTAACAATTTACTAGAGATGCAAGAGTTCCCAACTTCTAATTTCTCTAACTCTCCCAATGAGGACTCCTAGCATCAAAGACATTTCCTGGACATCTAGAGACCAGAGGACTTGTTGCTGACCCAATGTCTAGATTCTCTTTTGTCTTATAAGACTTATAAGAGTAGGATGGAGGAAAGAAGGAGATGGGGATTCTTGGCTACACTACTCTCTGCCACCACTGCGTGATATTTTTAAACATCCAAAGTTAATCTGTGTGTAAGGAGGTATGGACACCTGGGTCCTACATACCTCTGTTGGACAAGAGATTAGGCCTTTAGAGATGTGAACATGCCTTCAGGGATTCACCCTCAGGTCCTTTCTGTTCAAGCTAGCAAAGGTCATTGACTGTCACCCCTAATTCATTGAGTGCTGGGCTCTCTTCTTGTCTTTAAAGAATACTTCTCAAGGTAATAATCACTGCCCCCACCGGTAATATGCATATCACCTTTAACTTTATGCTTCTTTAGCCAAGACCTCATTGGAGTCTTACAAAGAAGTGGTACTAGGGCAGCTAGGTGGTGCAGGCCCTGGAGTCAGGAGGACCTGAGTTCAAATCCAACCTCAGACATCTGACACTAGCTGTGTGACCCTGAGCAAGTCACTTAACCCCACTGACTAGCAAAAAAAAAAAAAAAGAAGTGGTACTGAAGGTGTTAAGTCCTTTTTACAGATGGAAAAAATGAGGCCCAGAAAGAAGACAGGGCTTGCCCCATGTCACATAGTGAGGCAAGTTTGGAAATGGAACTCATCTTTTGATGCCCAGTCACACATGCATAGACCTACACTGTATATACAAACACATACATAAGCACAGATATATCCTCAAAACCCTAACATACCCTCATTCTTTTTCTCCCTGGGCTCTGGGTAAAGGTTTGATAAATCAGAGCGCTAGTAAGAAATAGTATTAGCAGGAGGGTGGAAAATTGAGCAGTGAAGTCTGAGAGCCAGGACTTTCATTTACTGTTCCAGGGGCTGATGGATAATCACAATAGGAGAGGCAGGAAGGGGATGTCAGAGATGCCAGATCCCAGTTTGGGAGGGAGGACAAATAGAAATAAAATTCCTCCCTTGGATTACAGATTTTGGCTTCCTTGGTCAACTCTGCTTCCAGAGATCAGAGGGGCAAGGCACCTTAACAATGATTGGAATGGGGGGTGGGGGGAGCCAAGGAGTCAACATTCTTACTTTCCCTTTCCTAAGTGAACCCTCTATCCCACAGTGCCCTAACTGGAGGCAAAGAGATTCTGGTCAGAGTAAATAGCACTGCCCCATGGCCAGGAAGGGAGAGATCCCTGGTGCCTCAGGGCTGATGGAAGGCACTTAGGAAGCTCACAGAATCTAAGGAAAAATTGTTAATAATAACAACACTAAAATGTATATAGCATCCTCTTCTGGAATCTCTAGATTATCAATGTCTCTGTTAGGAGTGGAACACGGCACTGAACACAATGCCCAGATGAGCTCTCACAAGGGCAGAGAACATGGGCTCTTCTTCCTCCATCCTGTTCCTGAATGCTGGGTATCTCCCAAGGGAGGCCCAGCAGCAAGAGGCTTGGTATCATTTCATACTGCTGACCCCTTGGAGAAACCTTTACTGTCTTTCCCCCAATTCTCTAGCATGTGCTGATCCTTTTGCATCATCCAATAGGTTAAGCTGTTGCTCCTAGCTTTGTGGTATCTCCAGGTGCACTGACCATACCTTGCATGCCTTTATCCAAGTCATTGGGAGAAAAAGTCAAACAGTAAAGAAAAAGAAGAGTGGGTCATTGCAGCACTTTCTGAGGTTCAGAAGGGAACTGGAGGAAGACTAGATAGAAAGAGATCTTTGAAAGAGAGATGACTTTATCATTTGGGTTTGAAAGGTTCTGGAGGGAAGACTTTGGCACCAGCCCTGCAGAAGTAGGAGGGGCCCCAATTCCAAAGTCTTGGGTATTATCTCTGGAGATCTCTGGAACAGGAGGTGGTGACTTGTTGCCAGAAGAAGGGAGCAGATGTTAGCTTATGGCAGGTGAGGATGGGATAGAAAAGAGAAGCAGGAAGAGAGCCCTCAGAAAATGGGGGCTCAGTAGAGGCCTCATTAGGTAGGGTCCATTGAACAAAAGCAGAATTTCTTTTCTCTTAAGATGAAGCTCTGACACTTCTGGCCTTTATTCAGTCTAATATAAAGGACATTTGGTTTTCAAATTGCTAGACCCAATTTGACAGGATTAAGTGCCTCCAGTGTGTGGGAACCCAGAACTGGAGAGACTGGCTAAATCAGGCTCCTGCCCTCAGGCAATTCCAAATGTTGCTTCAAATTTGAACCCAATAGGAGGAATTCAGTAAGGAAAACAAAATTGTCCTTTAAGGCTACTCACCTATGGAGTCTGGACTATCTGGATTCTCCATTGAGTTCCTGAGAGAGCAGAAGCTTCTTCTTCCCCTGGACTTCAGCCTTGAGAAGCAGAAAAGGTCTTGGTTATTGTTTCTGACTGTTTCAGAATTTAAACCTTGCCCTCATTCACAGCCCAAGCTCCTCTCCAGCAATTTAAGTACTCAATTACAGAGAAAACTCCCTTCCAAAAGATGTGTTATACAGATGTTCAAAAACCTAGGCTGGGATGGAGGGCTCCACCCTACACACCTTCCAAAAAAAAAATTTTACAATGGTGGAGGGGGGGTGGGGTCAATCAACTCAGTCTACCAATTTTCCACTTGTCTCCATTACAAGGAACTCTCCTTCCTGGCAGGTACTGTTTTTGTTGTTAATGTTTCTGGCTGGGGTGGGGGATTGGTGGGAGGACTGAATGCTTCCTTTGAAATTCAGGTGTAAAAAGGACTGGCCCTTAGTAAGTACTCTATAAATGTTTATTCACTCACTGACTGCCTTCCCAGGCTCCTCCTCCACCCGAGATCCAAACTCCAGTCTCTGCCCAGAAATTCCATACCAATTCACACATTTTTCTGAGGAAGAAAGTGAGACCCAGTGAAGTTGTCACTTGCCCAAAATTAAAAATATACCTAAGTGTTGTTTAAAAAAAAACCAGAGGTCATAGATTTAAACTCAAATTCTTATGCTCTCAATCCAGAGCTCACAGGGAAGGACTAGTTTCTGCACTGGGTAAATCACAAACTTGACTCTGTTCTCCATCACAAATCCGAACCCAAAAACATCCTTAGTTCTAAAACCAATCTTTGATTTTGAAGACCATTTTCTCCTACCCTGAGGTGTGCTAATAAATGATTAGCAACTGGTTTTCAAAAACAAACAAACAAACCAACCCAATTGTATCCATGATACACTTTTAAATTTGTTGTTCAGTCATTTTTCAGTCCTGTTTCACTCTTCGTCACCTCATTTGGGGCTTTCTTGGCAGAGATACTAGAGTGCTTTGCCATTTCTTTCTCCAACTCATTTTTACGGATGAAGAATGGAGGCAGACAGGGTGAAGTGACCTGCCCAGAGTCACCCCAGCTAGGAAGTATCTCAGGCCAGATTTGAACTGAGTAAGATGAGTCTTCCTGACTCCAGGCCTGATGCTTTATGCACTACGGCACCACCTACTGGCTACTCTTTTAAGTTTAATCTATGGCATAAACATCAGGAAAACAATGTCAAGCCTTAATTTATAGCTATCTCAGGGTTCGGAGCTGCAGCTACCCAGCCCCCAATTTTAACAAGCCCCTCTGGTGCAGCTGGCTCCAACTGCATTAGGACAGCCCTGACCCAAGTCTTGCTTTGTTCCTTTTCTGCTTTGGACATGAGGAGTTAGGGATGTCTACAGCAGGAAAAGTCCCAAAGGCATTGGAGACACTGAAGCAAAGCTTAGGAGACAGACAACAGCCCAATTTCTACTGGGATTGATCTGCACAGAAAGGACAGTACATTTTGTGTGATCCAAGATTACTGGAAAAGAAAATCAACAGAGAAATGGGGGAAAAAGAGGCAAGGTCAGAACTCAGGGGATCACCACTGCCTATGGGTCAAACTATGGATGCTAATCCTGAAAAGACTGATAGGTGGTACGGTGGATAGAGTGCCAGGCCTGGAGTCAGGAAGACTCATCTTCCTGAGTTCAAATCTGGCCTCAGACACTTCCTAGCTGTATGATCATGGGCAGGTCACTGTACCCTGTTTGCTTCAGTTTCCTCATCTGTAAAATGACTTGGAGAAGGAAATGGCAAACCATTCCATTATCATTGCCAAGAAAACCCCAAATGGGGTCACAAAGAGCTGGACATGACTGAAATGAATGAACAAGAAAGGAAGTGTCAGAAAGGGAGAAAAATGAAGGCGAGACACAGGAAGAGAGGATGGCTAACAGTATGAAATACTATGGGAAGGTCCTGGAAGGTGAATCCTGGGGAAAGGATTCCAAATACAGCAAGATACAAATCTTTGTTGTCCTTAAAGAAGGCAGATTCAGCTGAGTGTCAGGGAAGGCAAGGACAGAGAGAGGAGTGATTTCAAGAAGTTGAGAGTAGTAGGCCATGCAAAGGGACAGGCAATCTGTATTGAATGTTACTTTCTGCGAATTTCAAGGTGAAAGGGAGGAGATACCCCATAAGGTAAGGAGTAAAGTTGTTGGGCTTTTGTTTGTTACATTTAAGTATGGAGGGAGTCTTTGCTTGAAGCAGGGAAGGAGGAACTGTTACGTGGACCCTTTTAAATATCTCTGTCTCTGTGTCTCTAGACCCCAACATATCACTCATTCTTGTCTTCCTTACGTATTTCTTTCAAATCCTTTCCCATCATCACCATATCCTGGCAGGGCACTAGATGCCATCAAGCTGCTCCCATCCTAACTGTCCCAGGTGGGACATTCAGTAAATGCTATGACTCCAGTGACTCAGGGATCTGCTCCTCCCCAGTCATCCCAGAACCCAGCTTCTGCAGCCACTGAGGATTGAAATTCTTCTACCTGGCAAGGGTCCTGGGAGAAACCAAGCCCATCCAAAACCTGAGACTCCCTGAAGCTCTAGATCTATGTAGCATGTGGATGGGAGAGGGGAAAACGGAGACCTTGGCGCCCCTATCTCCTAAGCCTCACATCTTCTGGACACTGTCTAATACACAAAGGTGGCAAACAGCATTTTGGAGATCTGGAAAGCAGTGAGAGTCAATGGGGCAAGGAGATCCCTGAAAGGACAAGGAATTGCATTTCACCAAGAAAGTTTCATCAAGGAAAGGAAACAGTTATTAGGAGAACCAAGGATGCCCCTTCTTTAGGAGATAGCATGATCTGCAGGTCACAAGTCCTCAAAGAACCAGCAGGCAGATTCAGCACAGCCTTCTCAGCCTTCTTCTGGGCACAGAGCTATACTGAGAACATGAAAAGGTAAGAGGCTCTTCCTTAAACTCATTTTTAGTCTTGCAGAAGGAAGAAAAGCTTCCCTGGGAGGATGGTTAAAAGTCCCCCTTGCCATGATAGAAAGAATATCAGGTCCAAAGAATATCAGAGCTGGCCAGGAGGTCACAGGCATCCAGTCTAACCCATCTCTGCCCAAGGATTCCCTCCACCATGTTTCTGACAGGTCTCCAACAGTGCCCCCAACCAGTCTTTGTTTGAAAACCTCCAGTGAAGGACAGCCTTACTCGGCAGAGGTCACCCTTGGCACCTGGCAATTTGGGACAGTTCTACTTGGTTTTTTTTTTGGGGGGGGAGCAGGGGAGGAGAGGGAGGCAATAAGGGTTAAGTCACTTGCCCAGGGTCACACAGCTAGTATTCTACTGACTCCAGGCTCACGTTCTATCCACTGTACCACCTAGCTACCCCAGAGAATTATAATTGTGAAGACCTTTTCCATGCATGGGGATGAAACTTGCCTCCTACAGCTTTCTATCACAAACCTATCTCTATAACTTATGTGGAGAAGAGGGGAGGAAGACTGAGGGCAGAAGAATGGAAAACTCTCCAGTGGCAGAGTTCTTTATCTCCCCCCAACCCACAAACAGACACACACACTCTTCAATTAATCAAAGAAACTGCACACTTCTTGGAGTGTGGGCCCTGCATCCCTGGGCTCAGTTTCTGAGTGGCTATGAACAGTATGTGGGGGAGAGGAGGACATGCCCACTGGACTGAAGAACCTGGATTCTTGGGGGATGAGCTTGGGTCACAAATACAAAGGAAGCCTGAGCTTGTGGACAAAAGCCTCCCAGTCCTAGAAGGCAGAAGAATAGAAGGGCAGCTGAGGATCAGCCCCTTGAAAAACCCCATAGAGAACCACAGCGGCCCAGATAGTGATGACAAGTCCCCTTCAAGGTGGGATGTCTTTTTATTCCTGAATTTCTCTGCATTGGATCTAACCCAAACCAAATTGGCAGCCCCTTAAGTCCAGAAGTCTGACTTAGTTGATCTCTATGGCTTAGGCTCTTGTATCCAGTATGTACTTAATCCTCAGTTGTGGAAATGACTTGAAGGGTTTAAGCAGCAAATGCTATCAAGAGCTGGAGTGACTGATGCTCCACAGTATTTGATATGGAAACACATAAGAAGACTGTGTTGTCTTGCTATCTGTGTAACACTGGGAAACTCTCTTCACCCTCTAAACCTCAGATTGCTCATTGTTATCATCAAGGACTTGGTCTAGATGGCTTCTTGGACTTATACCAACTCTATGATCCTTTAAATTACTTCACCTCCCCTTTGCGCTCACTTTCATTGATGGTAAAAAGAACCATTTGGGAACAAATGATTTCTAAGTCTCCTTCAAGGAATGAGAGACAGGAAAAAATGAAGGAAAGTGAAAAATCTATGAGGCTCTGGGTTGAGATCTATCTTGCCTATACTCTGGAATATCCAAGCTGTCAGAAGCAGAAGGGACCGTAGAGTTCATCTACTTGGAACCATTCCTAAATCAGAGAAGGGAAGTGATGACCAGAGAGGGGAATAATGTGAACTAAGGTGGGTCAGAATTAGGATCCATAGGTTTCATTTTGGTAGAGACTTAGAAGTCACTTAATGGGGTCCCCTTGTTTTTACTGGAAGAAACTGGTGGCCAGTGAAGGGGGGGGCCTAAGTTGCAGAGTTGTATCCTTAACTTGCTCCCCCAAGTCCCAGGCTCTTTCTAATGTGCTATGCTTCACATGCAATAAGGCAGAATTCATAGGAACAGATTAAAGTAGGAGATGCCAGTGGATGGTGAGCAAGAAGTCAGTCACAGAAATTAGGAGCCGGAAAGAACTCTCGGTGACCATCCATATGCAACTATAGCTGAAAAAGCATCCATTCCGTACTGTCCACCACAAGTGTCGATCATTCACCCTCTGCCTGAAGAGCACTGAGTGTGTTCCATGCCCTTAGGGAGCCCATCCCACTCTAGGGTTGCTCTCCCTGATATGGAGCTTATTCCTGACTCACGACCTCCATTTGTCCCTGGTCCTCTGCTCCCTTCAGCCTTGGCTCCCACTTTGGCCCTAGGGAGCCTAGCAGAGTCTGACTGAGA